TATTTTTGTACCATTCTTGCTAAATAGGGTAGGCCCAAATAAATTTTAAATGGATGCCTAAGTTATTGGACCAGTTTAACTTGTTCCTGTTCAACCTCTAATTCCTGTTAAATAAGATCACTTTACAAAATAAAACAAAACATAAAACTATAACCCTTCAAATGAAATTAATTTTAATTATTTTAAAATAATAATAATAATAATAATAATAAGAGAAGATACGATTTTTATTTCTAAATTTTCGGTAAACCTAATCAATGTTCCTATTTTTGAAGTGATGATTTTAATACTCAAGTTTTTTTTTAAATATACATGAATTAAGTTTTTAATTGGTTATTTACAAAAACAAATGCTAAAATATACGGACTACGTTCATATGTTTCTTAAAGATTAATGATCAAATTCATAGTATAAAAGTATAGAAATTTAAAACTCAATTTCCTCGTAACAATAATAATATGAGTCATCAATGTTAATTCACCGTTATAGTTTCATATTGGATTTACATATTTTTTATCCCTAAGCTAAGCTTTTAGGATTTCTATTTTTTTTTAGTCCTAAAACCAATATAATAAAAGAGAGAAAAAAAAGGAGGAAGTGATGATAAATGATCAGCTAAATATGTTAGGTTAAATTCAAATAACAGGAGAGATTAAAAAAAATAAAAAAAGGAAGTTTCACTTATAAGTATTTCTTTTCCAAACCGTGAGGGAGAAGAATTTAATGTTGCTTAATTTTTTGATAAAGTTGTCCTAATACATAGTTTTTTTTATTATTTCATTTATTTTAAACCAAACAACTTTGTTCCTGTTTTTTTATTCTATTTCTCTTTATTTTTATTAAAAATATATATGGAATTAATTTAATATTTATAAAATAAAATTTATACAAAATAATAGGAAAATGAGTAATAAATAATACTAATACTCAAAATAATGGGATAATAAAATCAACCGACATTCAAATTTAATATATAAAATAATTATACAAAAATAACGTATCTTTAAGTTAATATGTATGGATATAGAGGTATTTCTTCTAGATACTTATTTATTTTTTGACTAAAGACACGTTGATTCTTTCTGTATTTTTCTTATGGATCTCCCGCGGCAAAAATATGCATTTTATAGGACAGCATGACGGGTTATAACACGTTAAGAAAAAAAAATCATTTTCTTTAAATTAAAGAACATTACCTCAATAAATTAATTATCCACTTAAAAGTTTGTTTTAGTTGGGTCATAATTTTAAGAAAGCTATATATCTCATATTCTTTTTAACACTTCCATTAAGGTAAAATAATAAAAATGTTTTTCTATATTTTTTAACCTTTAAACTTAGGGTTCATAAAACAATGGTTCAGTCCAGTCTTAAATAATTTTATAGATAAAAAAAAAAATCTAACCATTTAAATTGATCTATATTTTAAAATAGATTAAATTTTTTTATCTAATCTAATTTTATGTTAGGTCAACTAATTAACAAATCATTTTTTATCTAATTAAAAAAATTATTTATATAATTTTTTTAAAAACTAATATATATATATATATATATATATATATATATATATATATATATCTTTTGCCTTTTTTTTTATTGGAAACTTCTATGTAACATAAATGAAGTGTTTATTTTAAAATCGGGATTTAAAACTTTATTTATCTTTCAAATTCCGTCAGTACACAATATAATTAAATGAAAAATCATTTATGTATGTCATTTTATTCTTTATTTCTTGATCTAAGAGACTAATTGTTTTCTTCATAAAATATGCATTTAACATGTTTTCATGAAAGCATAACATAAATTAATTTTTCTTAATTTATTGCATAAATAAAATTTATATACACGCATACATCCTTTCTTTTCTTTTGTAAGAGAAAGATAATTTGAGATGAGTCAAATTGATGAAAAAAAGACCCAAATTGATGCATTCGAGTTTCACTCTTTTCGAAGTCCAAATTTGCTTATACAGATCTACTTACGAAACATTACAAATGAAAAATTTGAATCACCAAATTAACTTATGCAAAAATCCAATTTAGTTGAATTAAATGTCAACATAATCAAGAATTAAATGTAAATAAGTGTTGTATCACTTAAAATAAAAAATAAACTGATTATTTTCTTCAAATCGGTCTCAATTTTTTTTGTCACGACAATCTAATTCTACAATTTTTTATTTAATAAATATTTAATTTTATTGTATAAACATCCTATTTCAGGATGAGTCATTGTTTTGTACCAGTCCAGGTTTTCTTTTCTATTTATTCAACAAAAATACTGTTGTCAATCATACTTAATAATGCATATAACAAATGCATCTCGATAACTTTAGAATCAAAATTTCATCAAGAAACTAGCCTTATTATCCAAGACTCATATAATGATACTTTTAAAATACACTACATATAACAATGTGTCGTCTGAAATGATTATTCCTTAAACAAATGTAACGACAACAAAAGAAAAAAAAATGACTAAAAGAAATTTATGTTTAGGATTTAATATTATTTCTAAATTATATTATATATATCATAAAATATATTATTAAATTAATTTATTATATATATATATATATATATATCTTTTAATAAACTAATATTATTTTTATTTTATTTTATAAATAATTATTATTTTATAAAATAAGTCAACCAATAAACCTACTCACTATACTATCCTAAACATATTTAGACTATAAGCTAAATAGGGGTGAAAATTAACTTGAATCACTATAAATATTTTAGCCTATCATCTATCATAAAACTCCATATTCTTCCTCTCCAAAGTTGTTTGAAAAACATTTGTTTTCATGTTAGAGAATTTCTTGGTCATGATTTCACTCTTAAGCATAAACATTTCATAACATTTGAATGCATCTCCGATCGAAAAACTTCGGCATTTCGTTTTCAGAAATATATTTCAAATTAATGTATATGTAATATATTTGAATGGTTCAGTCTTAAATATAAAAGATATAAAAAATTTTCGGATATACCAATCCCAAAGCCTGTCCAGACTAATAAGTACAGAAAATAAATAAATATATATATATACTTACACGTACGAGATGCAATATACCTTTGACGAGCTTCAAAGCCGAATGAAGGCGAAAGCCATATTGGTTTGGCTGGGTTAATCAGAGTTGAATCCAGTGCGTGTAAATAGAAGCCTTATAATGGGCTTACAAAGGTCCAAGAAATATATGGTTTGCACTTTTCATTGGGTACAAGAACTCTTAAACACAGTGTTTAAATATTGATGATATGATTTTAAAAGTGAAATAAATAAGGCTTCAGTTATTATGTGGTGCCTTAATTATCAGTTATTATGTGATGCATTAATTATCCATTTAATATGAAAATTAAAAAATATATAAAAATATTAAAATTACGTTATTACTGACTGTTTTAGAAGGGAATTCAAAAATATATTTTTTCTACGATAAAAAAATAATATTAATAATAACAAGATAAATAAAAATAAAAACTAATCAGAAAAAATGTATGAAGAAACAAAAACTATCTTTATTATTTTACATTTACGTGTGAGTAAAAAATAAAAGGATTGATTATATTAACCGAATAGACGATGTAAAAAGAGAAATATTCATTTATATGCGCTCAAAATTGTAACAGGGTTGGTGAAGTTGACTGAAGTTGAGTGATGCGAATCTTGAACCAAGAATAGTGAGTGTGTGTCTTTTTCTATTTTTGTTCAGTTGAGTACGTGCATGAGATTGGTCATTGTCGTAAACATGCTTCTTCTAAAATTGTAACATGGTCTATAGCAGAGACTCTGTTTCTGTTTCTTTCTCTTTTCTATTATTGTTGTTTTATATAAAAAAAGGTAAATAAAATAAAAGAAAGGATTTTTAATGTTTTTAATTTATGCAAAGGAAAACTTTTAAACAGATAAAGTACATTCTTTTTATATCCAAGAAAATAATAAAGACCAAGTGATAAAAAAAAGGAGACATTAAAATTTCATTAATATTACTTTTTCTTTTGAGTGCCAATATTGTATTTTTCAAAAGTTTTGTTTTATTTTTATATATTTTTGTCTTTAATTTTGAAAGAAAATAGAAATATTGAATATTTTTTATTTTATTTTACAAACGCGTGACAATAAATACACAGGACAAACTAATTAATTTCACTCCTTTAAATATATTATAAAATATTTTTATTCTTTAATGTTACTTTCGTTGCCATTTAGTCATTTCACGTGTCAATTCTTAATTATAATACATCATTAAAAAAAACTATATATATATAAATTATGTTATAATTTAAAATGATACCAGATTCACGAGTATATTAGTTTCTAGTCGGATATTAAGGAATAAAAATGGAGGAAGATTTTGTTTTCTAGTGTGACCCAACTCTTAATAATTTCTTCTAAGTTCGTTGCGGGCAAAAAGAAAAATCCGTGTAAAAGGTTCTTTCATAAATCAGTATGAGAATTAATTAGTAGAGAGAAAATCATGTTAAATGAAAAAGATATGTAAAGTTTTATTAGGTACCGGTAACGATGTAACTACCCGATTATCACAATATATCTTCTTCTAATTTTATAGGGTATGTCTTGAATAAGACTGAGATACTTGAGTGATGTCGAGTATTTTGATTATTTATGGTACCTTAGTACCGAATATCGTTCGATTTTTTTTTAAATACAAAAATATTTATTCGATTTTAAATTCGAAATTTATTTTCAGTTCATCTTCTACTTAAAAATTAATTTCTCAAACAATAAATTAACTATTAAAATATTAAATAACAAAAGAAATAAATGGGAGTGAATTAAATAATATTTAATGATTTTGTTTATTTACTTTTGTCACTTTATTACAGTGCATACACACAAGGGGTAGCTCGGATTCACACTTAACACCCTCCTTCTTACCATATTTCAGTGCAACTTCAGTTTCCTGCCACCACTACAAAACTCCAAATTACAAATCCCAAAGACAGAACCGTTTTCTCATTTTTGAGATGGAACACAACGTCATTGGAGCTCCGTCGCATGCGGCTCTCTATGATCTGATACTAGCGGCGGAACAACCATGCAGCCCCTTCCACCCCAAGAAGACCTTACCCGACCTTTCCTACCTCCTCCCCGACACCTTAGAAGACCTTCTCAACTTCGATATCAATCATATTTATTTCGAATTGGTCAACTCTTTATCGACGCCGCCGCCAACCGCTCCAGTAGTGTCCACTAACTGTGAAACCTCAGAGGAATCGAACGCGCAGGCCTCGAGGCCCGCGCCGGTCGGGCCCACTGCCGGAGTCGATCGTGGAAAGTCTGTGGTCTCCGGTGATCTCTGCATGGCCGGCGGCGGGGCTGACGGTGGCGAAAACGGTTGCGGAGAGAAGAAGGAGAAGCAGCGTCAGCGGCAGAGCGTTTCTGTTGACGCGTCATTGACGGCGTTGATGGAGGCCGGGCCAGCGATTACCATTGGGAAGAGGCCCATGGACTCTGAGCAGCTTGCTGAACTTGCTAGGGTTGATCCAAAGAAGGCTAAGAGGTCTTCATCTTTTTTCTTTTCTTTTTCTTCATTTTCATTTTTTAATTAAACAATTTTTAAAACGCAGAATTTAATTTTTTTTCGGTTATATATATATATATATATATATATATATATATATATATATATATATATATATATATATATATAACATGGTTATTTTATAAAATAAAATATAAATTTTTGGGACAAAATTAGTGCAAATTTCGAAATTTATTACCATTAATTATTTATATATGTTTAATATTATAATCAAAATTAATGAAAGCATAATTAAATTGTTTTTTTAAGGGATAGTAATTTTTCTAAGGAATATATCCCGTGGATACTTATCTTAATCAAACATTGACCCTCTTCCGCCATATTCTTCTGTAATTATCGTAGCCCTAGGTTGATCTTTGCTAAGCAATTAAGGAAGAGAGATAATTTAATGAATGATTAAGGACTTATTTGAAGAGAAAACTTGAAGAGAAATAATGGAGAATCAATATATACATTGCACAGCAATAAAGGAGAGAAAATATAATGAATGATTCTGAATTTATTTGGAGAGAAAACTTGAAGAGATGTAATTGACAATCCATATACATTAATCATAATCCAGAGAGATAAACAATAAAAGAACTCACAATTTAATAGGACTTATTTGGTAAGAAATCTAGACAAAGAAATATGAGAATTTTGTACCATTATTCGTTTTTAAGCTTATCTTTTTTTAAGAGGAAAGAAGTGATAAATCAAAATTTACAAGAAAAACAAAATTGTGAAGTATTAATGAACAAAATATTTTTTCTTTTTTTTTTCAAGGAAAGTAGGTTTTTCAAAATAGGAAAGAAAATATAAAAGAGTTAGACCAAATACTTCTTTAAATTGGTGTTGATCTTTTCTTGCTCGTGCGTCTGCATATTTGGGATTACTTTAGAAGAAATAATATATTTTTTTTCAAAGATAAGAATCAGTTGATGATTTGCAAATGAGAAATAAGAGTTCGGGGTTGGGGATTGATGTTCTCAGACTGATATAAATTGAATTGTTGTGTTTTTGTAGGATTCTTGCCAATAGGGAATCTGCTGCTAAATCAAAGGAGAAGAAAAGGCTTTATGTGACAGAGTTGCAAAAGAATGTCCAATTGCTTGAATCTCAAGTAAATGACCTGATTAATAATATTAACATGTTAGAGGTATCTGTGTTTTCCTTTTCAACTTATTATATATGGTGCTCTATATATATTACAAAAATTGTGTGTGTGTGGTGTGTGTTTTGTTTTTTTAATTATGAAAGATGGGGTGGCAAACACTTTGTAGAACCCACAAAATATCAATCTTTTCTTTCTTAGAAACAGTTGAGCATTATTATGAATAAAAGGTCCACAGGAGGGTAATAATAATTAGATTAAAATACAATATTTTACATTTCTTGTCATCAGAACTACTAATAAATTAGGCTATTCGAAATTAGGATAAATATCCAACGGCAGCGCGTGGTATCATAGGGCTAGGTAAGGAGGACAACCATAGAGTTGAAATTTCTCTCAAAATTATTCAACTACCCCTATGATTTATTAGAAACTTACATATGTGTGTTGTATCTAAAATATAAATTGGGATCCAAAGAAAAATTAGAAATATTGTAAGATGATACTTTCCATATGCACTTTGGATAGTGTCCATTTGTTCTTGTTTCAGTAAAAAGTCATGGTTAAAGTTAGAACACTTAATATGTGTTAAAGTTTATTTATAGACATAATAAAAATACTAATTCCACCCCTTTTCATTATTAATAGACATTACATCTTAAGGTATTTTTAGTAGTAGAATTTGAACTCTAAAATATTCTCATAATTTGGGAATGTCCTGTTTATCTTAGTATGTTATAATAAAATATAGATATCCATAAACATAAGACCTATCGAAGAACATCTATGATACTCAAGACACTGTAAAATACTGACCCCATGCAGATTCGACCTACATTGACTACTAGCCCTACATGGAAATATTTATTACCTACTATGGATTGATCTTATAAATCTTGATATTTGTAAGTGATTTGATACGTGGTGAAGGCAAAACTCAATTATAGAAACATGACGATATAGTCCCACATCTTGTAAACCTAAAATAAATGAACTGTAACCAGGATGAGGAATTTAAGTATGATAAATGTAATGCTTCTTGTGGTATATCCAAAAAGTAATTCTACTTCCTAGGTTTGTATAAGAAAATAATATACTTATCTGATTTGGAAGTTTAGTCTAGACCGCATTTCAGCGGTATAATGATATAAGGTTTATATCTGGAATTTTCCCGATTACTAGAATATCATGTAAGCATTGTCATATAATCAAATTTCTATGTTTTATCTTATGCTTTTAAACATCATATCTCACTTCAATATGATCAAAATGATTTTGTTCTTAACGATTGAGTTAGTTATGTTAACAACTTCATTTGGGATTAGTTCTTACCTTGTACAATTTTAGGGTAATAAAGGTTTAGGATCAACACAGCTTAAAAAAAAAAAAATTAAATTTACTATACCATCTTTTTGGATGTTACATATGACTTAGATTTTAATACTAGCATTCGTGGTATGATTTTCCAATAGTTGATTCATAATAACAACATGTTAGGTTTATGTTCGTGCCCTTAGGACACCTGAGTAGTAGTCACTATAGTGTGTTTGCTGTTGAGAATGGTAACGAGGATGGTGGATAATGTCATTTTTTTTTTCGTACTTGTTGAAGTGGTGAGAGAGTTTGTAATACTCATAATATGCCAATATATATGGAATTTTTAAGATGGAGATTTTAGTGCTTTTCTAGGTAAATTCAAGTGGGAAAAATACACTGATGCAATATGTGTAGCTGCAAGTGAGATTTTCTTTAACTTGTGTATTTTTTGTCTGTTACCTTTCATTTTCAGCATTTGGGTGGTGACTACCCCTGTACCCATTTTATATGATACTTATTTAGCTTATTAAAAACAAAAAACAAAAAAACTAGTGTATTTGTTGTGTGTGAACTGGAGACAACAAAAGTAATCATTTTCTTAATTCCATTCATGGCCTCCTTTAAATCTCATGGTTAACAAGAATTCCTTTCTGACTCTAGATACAGACACATGTTATGCTAGGGTGTAAATGTTGCCTGTGTAAATTTAGACATTTCTCATTTAAAAATTCTTTGATGTTGGTAATTTCTGTTACTTTGTTATGTGAAATTTCATTTACCATCACTACTTTATTCTGCTAATTGATTTTCATATATATGTTTCACTCAAGAGAAAGACAAACTAATAAGCACAACTTTTAAAATAATGTCTGCACTATAGAATCCAGTGAATAAAAGTCTCTCTCTCTTTCTCTGTCTATGTATGTGTGTATTTTTTCAGCCTCAAATTGTGAAAAGAAAGTTTTCTTGCATTCACCTAATTGAAACAAACACTAAATATGACTAGTTTATTAATACCACATTCGTAGTCCGATTAAATTCTTATCTCTAATGGGGAATAGGGTATTCATTTAGAATAATGTTCAACTTCTCACATAATATATTTTTTTCTTTTTAACTTTTATATAAATTAATTTTCCTTTTATAAAAGGTCTTTTTTTTTCATTTTTAATGTTTTTGCGCGTGACTTAAAAGAGAGAGAGAGAGGAAATAATTATATTGATTTTGTTTGTTTAATGAATTAAGTTTACGTAGACATGTGACAGAAAGAAGAACAACAAACACATTAATATCTCATATGATGCAGAAAGAGAACACAGAAAGGGCTGATCGTGTCAAGGAGCTCAGAATAAAATTAGACGCTATGCGAGAAGAAGATCGAACTAAAGATGGTATGCATAGTTTCATAGTTGTTTACGCCTAAAGTAGAAAAGTGTGCATGAACAATATCATCATATATGTACACGTGTATATAGCATCATATACTAAAATTGCAGAAATATAAGGTTTTTCATTACACTACTTGTTGCAAGAAAAATATTTTAAGTATGTCGACGTTTGTATTGTTTACCACTTTCCTTGTGAAACCCTGAGGCATGAAATTGAATAAGCTTTGAGAGGAGAACTTGGAAGTTGAATTACTTTGTAATTTTTTTTGCCAGTTTGATCATACAGTCTCTCTTGATAATATAAATTTTGTGCATCAATATTATCACGGACATACTCTTGTTGCTTGCAGCTCTCAGTGCATCGTTAAAGGAAGAAGTTCAACAGCTTGAGAAAGAAATTGAAAATCTTGATGTTTTATTGAGTTACCGTTTTCCTGGGGACTTTTTCTCCCCATTCTCTTCCAAGTTACCTCTAAATCAGTTTCATACTCCTTCTCAGCAACATCTGGACCCTCAACAAACCCAACTCTCCATGCCTAGTCCCATTCCTCCCTGTGGCCAGAGTTTCGCTGGGCAATATGACCCTGACTTCTTAAACTTCTATCAGTAAAATTAGTTCATACCACCATCAGTAAACGATATCATCTTGTGTATGTTTGTAATGGTCGAGAGTTGTGAAGGATATCCTTGATTGTTTCTTTATTGGTGGTATGTTTTACTGTGTCAGGCTATAGAGCCTGTTCTTCTGCACTTCCTGCATTTTTAGGTTAAAAACTCGCAGTTTATTTAGTGGAAACAATTGAACTTGATGATTGGTTGTGTTTTGAATGAACTTATGGTTATTACATAGTACAACTTCTGAAGCTGCATGATCAAACTTCGATTATGTTAAACAAATGGAAGGAAAACATCTTCTTTGTACGTCGTATGTTTGTGGGTGTTTGAACTTGTTATGCTTGCGACATACATTCATAGTTTTGCTATTATAGTTGTGAAAGCTATAGTAAAAGTTCTACTGTGATTGGAACTCAACCTTAGTTCCAAATATATTGAATTGATTTCTCTTTCATGAAAGAACTTCACCTTAGCAGAATCACATATTTGTCTTTCGCCATAACTATATCTCAATTTTGTTTTACTGTGTGTTTTTTGGCATTGTGTTTGCTTCCACTAGTGTTTAGTTTCTGTACTTTTTTAGAGAAACTTCGCGAACATAATCTTTAGTGACAATCTTGAGGAGTGCGGAATAATATATCTTAAATTATTGTCACAGTTAAACAGAAGCTCTTCTTAACGACCCTTGAACTTGTTTATCCTTGCACCAATTCCGACGTAGTTTATTTTTAAAAAATGTGCATTCATTCATTTTTGCACTTCCTATTGGAGTCCTATTAAACCTTTCTCTTTCATGGCATACCTTACAAGCTTATAAAGGTTATGGTATTTTAGTTGGATATTCCTCATGTGTAAACAAATTAATTATAAAATTGACATCATTAAAAAAAAATTAAAAAAATTAACCTCCAATAAAATATATATATATATATATATATATATATATATATATATATATATATATATCCCAAATTTAAAAAAATTCACTTGCTCAACACTCAATTTCTTAATACGTTTATGTTAAATTATAAGTTAAATATAATTATTATAATATCACAGCTTTTATATTAGACAAAGACACTAACTTAACAACATCAACCACTACTTGTCTCCAATCTCACTGTAATGAGACACCATGATAAAATCACCCTAAAAAATTTGACCAATATTACTACTAGACAAGGGAGATAATTTTCAATATAAGGGACGGAAGGAGGATTAATATATAAAATTAATTATTATATAAAAACAAATATGTTATATAAATGGTCATCAACATGTCCAACATTATTAATTAAATTTAAATTTTGGAAAGGAAAATTTATTTCATCATATATCCTTTCTTTCCCCTTAAAAAATGAGTTTATATTTTTTTAGACATCTTTAAAATTCAATATCAATTTTTCTTTACACAATTTAACATTAAAATAAAACACTAAAATAACTAATTAATTTATAACAAATAAAAAAAATTACATAAATATTTCATATTTTTATACTACATTACACATAATAATTTGTTATAATAATAATAAAAAATTTTGTTTACTATTTTTTATTTCAAAAAATTATTGTGATCTCCTTTATTTTTTAACTTTTTTGTCTTGTATCTTCAATGTGAATAGAAGAAAAAAATTAAAAAACTTAGAGAACAAAAAAATTTAATTTTTGTGCTATAAAGATAAAATAAAAAAAAGAAAAATTTGGAAACTAATGAGACTAACTTACAAATTTTATTCCGTAAGGTGAAATCATGAGAGTGAACGAGTGGTAAAGAAAAATATAAAAATATGAAAAAACAAAATGAGTGTGTGATAGAAAAAGTTGAAATGAGAAAATAAAAAAGTGAGAAAAGAAAAAGATAAAAACAACAAGATAGAAGGAAGAAAAGAAAGAAAAAAAAATTAAGTAGAAAATTGTGTAAGAAAATAAATATAATATTTATTATAAATGAAATTTTAGAATAAAAAAATTTATTTATATTTATAAAAAACTATTTAATTTTAAAAAATATTATTATATTTATATATAAAAAAATTGGAGTGGGATGTGGCCTCCATTCATCCCATAATCTCGTTCATGTTTAAGTGTAAGTATATTCCTTAGAGAAATCTATAATAACCCAATTTCTTTTAGTGTTGAATCAAACAATATTTTATTATAAGGAGATCCCTCGTAATACTAAAAATAACCCCTTTTATTATGATTAAAAAAGAATTATAATAAGATTTTTAAGTCATCATTATTCCAACTATGGATAAAAATTAATAATATAATGATAGTTTTAAACTGTCGTCGTAGATTACCAATATGATGATGGTTACATTATAATCATTGTCATATTATGTTAAAAATCTTATTTTACTTCGTCGCACCAAACCTAATTGTTTCGTCACAATAAATAACAAACCTAGAAGTTGTCCCGTTACAACAAACAATAAACATAGAAGCGCCACAACAAATAAATAAATAATGCAACAAACCTATAAACTTCACCACAACAACTCTGCTCCTTCATTGTTGCTCCTCTACAACGAGAGTTTTCATTATTCTCTTGTTGTTTCGTCACAATAGATATGTAAATTTTTTCCACATTTTCATTATTGCTTTCTACCTTAGTTTTAATGCATCCAAAAGAACATTTTCCTCTACCTGAGATTCAACAAACGTTATTTTCAATCTTCACTTATTGTTTTTCATTGTTATTCTCCCCTATAACAACTTTAGATGTGTTGGAGACATGTGGTGGAGACATTTACGATGTATGGTGGAGAGAAACACTTTGAGAAAGAAAGAAAGAGGGAGAAGAAGAAAAAAATAGTTTAATCACACTGAATAAAGAAAGGGAAAAGTTACAACAGAGAAGAAAAAAAGAAACAAAAAAAAGAGATGTGAAAAAGTAAAGATGAAATAAACATAATAGATAAAGTTTAAAATTTTAACAAAATATATGACGAAGATTTTATAAATAATCATTGTCGTATGTGACATATGACGACGATTACACTACTACAGAATGATCATTCAACGTCGGGTGTGGAAGACATTCAACGTCGGTTCCAATGACGTCGTTGATTCAGGCGTCGTTGAATGTCAAAGGATTCTACGTCGGTTCAGAATACCCGACGTTGAAAGTGATATATATCTACGTCGGTTAACCAAATGTCCGTCGTAGAAATTAGTAAATTCTACGTCGGTTATTGAACTAACCGACGTTGAAATTTCTCGCTCAAGCGACCGGTGTACTCGCTTGAGCGACGAAGCCTTCAAACAAAGGGGACTCTCGGGTTATGTATCACTCAAGCGACCGACGTTACAACGTCGGTTAATGCAATAACCGACGTAGAATATCCTTTTTTTTTTAAAATGTTGGTCTGTTTTTGTGCCACCAACAGTACACGACCTGCTATAATCTCAGTCCAGACAGTATATTTATTTTAGCTAATCACTAATATATAAAATGATAGATATATATGTCAAAATCAGCCAAATTATGTACAAAATACACAAAAAATTATCAATCAATCCTATTCCTAACTACTTGTACAAACTTTTCTGCCCATTTGTTTCTAACCATGTCTATAGTATCCATAGGCAAAGATTCTATATCTTTAAATGCCTGTAAGAAGTTCACAATAATAGAATGGTAAACCCTAAGCAATAAAAATAAAGGAATTGAATATAATAGCAAATGTCAACTTACCTCATTCCAACTATCCTGAATGCTACCAAAAATGATGAGCCACATCCAATACATTACATAGTAGCCGCACTCGTATCCTCCATTTTGTTTGTTACACTAAAAATGACTAAATATGTTAAAAATAACTACTAAATTTGAACATAAATTAATAGATAGTATAATATATATAAAGGCTACTTACTTTGATAAAATTCCAATTTGGAGTCTGTGCTTTTACTTGTGTGTTTTCCACCTAATGTACTACAAACCTTTAGAGCACTATATATTGAAAAGAAGGAGGTTAGAAATAGAATAATCAAGATGTTTAGACATAATATAAGAAATACTTACTCGTTTACAATATTTTTTAGCTCCATGTCAGGTTTCCTTCCCAATGAGCGAGAACCAACACACAAGATTCTGCTTTGGACAAATAACTAATAGCCGCTACTCGGTTCCTGTATATACACATGATTAGAATCTATTAAAAAAACTTGTGTAAAACCAGGAAGAGGCTGGGATAACTTACGAATGATGGTATGCTCCAAGGTAAATATCTCTTTTAGAATCAGTGATCCAATTCCGCATGTAACCGAGAATTTGATCACGCTTATTCCCGAACTTTTGTATGGATTGAGGCTCGAAGAATCCATACACATGACCAATGCCCTGCTCCACTATCATTTCGTGCATCATCCTAAAATATGCCAATTTAAGTGAACTTATAGCTTATATATTTACTAAAATGAAAAGAGTCATGAAAGATATGAACTTACAATGTCCAAAATTGTAAAACAGCTATATTTAGACATTGATTGCCCATCCCAATCTCCAGGGCATCAGTGTGGGAAATGTATAGGGGGATATTGCTAGAAGCCATCCCAAATAATGTACAATCCCATGGAACTTGGAATGACTGCATATACAATTGTGGGGAAAGAGACAAGAGATCAAAAATTGGATTTGGAGAAGTCTCCACAACTGGTGTCTTCTCCTTAGATCCGGAAGGAGTGGTAATAGCTTTACCCAAGTCTTTTGGTTCTTGAACATCCTACATATTTTATAAAATATAATCATAAACAATAAATCAATTTATTTATGTGTTAGATGTATTATAACCATACATATACATACCTTTGCCATGATTGACCTAACTAAATGTCGGGGCCAAGTAATGAAGGTCTGAAGGGCTTGGCCCACTGTCTGCACCTCTTCAGTGGGGATAGGGACACTAGCTTCAACGTCAACCACCTTTTCAACCACTACTTTGACCAAGTTAGGATCCAAAGGCACATTGTGGATGGTTGAAGCCC